TAATTATTGCAGGTCGTCAGATGTTTAATTTGCTATTTCAAAAGGGATGAATTAAACTGAGATTAATTTATTATACAGACGCGTTTTATTATTAGATTACAAGTAATAATTAAGCTGAGATTAAGAGAGGAACCCACTGGCAGATGCAGATTGGCACATTGCATTACTGACAGCAGCCACATGGGGTTGCACTCGTACAGATTCCTAGACAAAATAATGTCCCGTAGCCATCGACTGTGGGGATGGGAATTGGGAAACAAGTAGAGTCAAGGTGACAAATACAAAAAAATTATTATCTTTCAGCTTCCTATTTCGATTTGATGTTTAAATATAGACGACATTTTTCTTTCCCTTTAAACAATTTGAGTTAGGGTATTTCATATTTGACTTCAATAACACTTGAGATGGGGACAAAAAGTTCATCTCCAGAAGTTACATCATAAAAAATAAAAAAAATAAAAAAACACGGATAATAATATAAGCGGAATGTAACATTTTGTGACCGTGTTACAATTACACACGAAATAAAATAAAATTACAGAACTTGAATTATACTTCAAAGAATTGAGTGCGTGTTGATAATTGATCTATCTCAAAAGAGATTTCGATGGTCTTAACTTAATTGCCACGAGCTTCAATTATGAGGACAAAAATGATGTTAAAGTTTTGGAACGGGACACCTTTTGGAATTACGAGTGGTCCATGAATGATGGGTGATGACACCCCTCCCTCAACCCCGCCCCTCAATCCCTTCCAAAGTATAAAGTATTTAAATGGAAAAGGAGAAGTTTAGATGGTTGGGAGAGGGAGGAGCCATTAGGTTAGGGGTGGGGGCTTTAAGGGCGTGGTCTCTGCTTCCAATAAATACCAATTTTTTCCTGCAGTCGGCCACTATATTCGTTTATCAATTTGCACAGTGACAGAAGTAGCTAGGCTACAGCTCACTTTCTCTCTCGTTTTAATTGTCAAACAAAGTAGCGCATATATTCATGTATGCTCATATATTTATTCTTTGAAAAAGACCAAAGGAGAGATAATTTTTTTAAAAGAAGCCAAAATGGACAAAATTGCCCTTATTTATTTTTGGATTTCCTAAGGAATCCTTTACATTTGCATGTTTTTGGTTTGAAAGTTGAGATGTTTTTCTGTCTTTTTTGAAAAAGCTTTGGCTTTTTCCAAAAGTGAAATTTTTTTTGTAACTAAAACCTAAATTTACTTTTATAAAGAAGTAAAATCCTAAATAAAATAGGAAATAAATTCAAATTACAATAAAAATATATATATAAATTACAATAGAAAATAAATCTCAATTATAATAGAACTAGATAAATGGGTAAGTAACCAAAATCCTAACTAAGTCAGGACTCCTCAACACTCCCTCTCAAGTTGGGGCAAAGATATTTCGCATGCCCAACTTGATAAGCAAGTCATAGAACACTATACTTGACATTGACCAATCAAACAACTGTAAAGAAGGCCTTGTCATAAACCACGAGTGAAACAACTAACAAATCCTAACAATTAGGGCACATAGAAGAACACATAAAAGTAGAACACAAAAACTTTGTGAGCACGACAGTAGATAAGGCAGAACACAGAAACTCTGTGAGCACGACAGTACATAAGGCAGAACACATATTCAACAAACTAGGTTCCATAGTGCGCATTATCCAACTTTTCATGGTAGCATAATCTTTTTTCCACTTTCCAAATTATGGATCTTTTGAATATCGGGCATCATAATCATGAGTTAGGTAACCCAATTTTCCTTGTGAAGTAGCGTAGAGTTCGATCATCGAAACCGAAATTGCTTAGTTGGATCCATTCAATTTGAATCCAAAGAGTAGGTTGGTGGACGATTCAGTATGAACCATCACAATAGGGGTAGGAGAAGCAGTAGATGAAGTAGAACCAGAAGCAAGTGAAGAAATAAAGGTATCAATATTCGACATGGTGATGGATGCCAAGCTGGCGGCAGTGGCAGCAGTAGCAAGGTAGGCGATGGCGACGATAGCAAGGTAGATGGCGGAGGCAGGCTAGGTGTATAGTGCATAGAAAATAGGTAGTGTTTAGGGCTATGGTTTTTTTAAAATTGTAGAGATAGATCGAAACACATCAACATCAACGACAATGACAAAGGATAATTCCTCCTAATTCAGCGAAAACTTCTCTTCATTCTCCTTTCCCCCCTAAAGAGAAGGGGTCGTTGGAGTCAAGAAAATAAGCTATATCTTCATAGGAATACATCAAGGTAATGAGGATACGTCAATAAATATATCATTTTCATTCCTAACCCCGCTCCTCTCTTGAAGAGGAAGGGAGGAGAGCATTTAAATTGCAAGGGGAACGCAAACACATGTCACAAGAAAACTAGGCCTATGATACTATGTCAAACAAAGTAGGGCATATTTTCATGTATACTCATATATGCTCCGATCTTTATTCTTCTCCAAGATGAAAGTATTTATAAAAAAGTACAACCCTAAATAAAATAGGAAATAAATCTAAATTACAATAGAAAATAAATATAAATTACAATATGAAATAAGTCTCAATTATAATAGGACTAGATAAATGGGCAAGTAACCAAAATTCTAACTAAGTAAGGACTCAGCAACATTAATTACATGGCTACCATATTTTGCAATTTTCCTTCTTTTATACAAACTCATCTAATTCGCGTTTGCAAATAAGCAAAGTGAATTTATACTCCGGACAACTAATCTAACTCACGTTTGTAAATAAGCGAAGTGAGTTTACACTCCGGACAACTTATCTAACTCACGTTTATAAATACTATCGTGCTTAGAGATTTAGGGTGTATCCAACTTTCACTTTGTGTGAGTTTAAATTGAAATAAACCATATTGTATTATGGATTAATTTATGTTTTGGGGCTGACCATCTTACTAATAAATGAGCATACTACCATAAAAAGGAAATTAAGAAAGAGATTAGAATTGGGCACAATTAATTGAATGTATAATACATTAATTGGTCCCCGTCGACCACGCCGGTGGCAATAATACAAAAACCTAAAAAGAAGCAGAACTCAAACGCCTGAGTTCTTGGTCCAAATATCTTCTGGCAATATTTACATTGCTTTCTGCAACCTCTGGAACTAGACTAGTACGTACCCAATTATTTTCATCAAATTCGATGAAAAAAGTACTCTGCTTATCATGAAGTCAAATTATAAGAAAAGCTAAAGAAAAGAAAATTAATTATGTTATCAATTTAACTACAAAATTACTCACGTAAATGATATACCTATTTAAAATGAGTCTAATATCTAATTGTGACTAATCCATTGTAAATAAATTAACTGATTGTTTTATAAAAATATATAGAGATATAGATATAAAAAAAGTGTAAAATGACAAATTAATAGTATATACAATATTTTCATTTGTTTCTTATCACAAATATAATATATTTTCGCGAATAATCCACTAGTGTAGTCGTTTCGAGTTATAGTATCTGTGTAGTGTGTGTGAGTTTAGTATATTATTGCCTATTTCAATAGGAAATGTTCTTATATATATATATATATAGTCATATTATATTGAGGGATCCCTCATATACACATATATATATATATTCAAGATTACTATATTCTAATACCTGATCAATTACAAAGTTAGAGTATCTCCAATAATAATTGCAAATCAAACTCTTGAAATTGTAGTTTGTTGACCTATGTGACAATTTGAAATTTTTTATTTACTACTTTAATAATTTGTGCCCTAACAAACTTTTCAATTCAATTAATGCAGTGTTTGTTATTTAGCAATTTAAATGCAGGTTTCTTTTAAAACATATTAAGAAAGTCTATGTATTTATTATATGAAAAGAAAAAATGCATGTTTTTGGCATTTTCAAAGTAAGGTTGTGTTAATCCAAAATAAAATAAATGTTGTATATATGAGAGAAGGTGTGAAAAAAGGAGTTTTAGAGATAGCAAGAAAACTATCCACTTCTCTCCCTCTCAATTCCTAGGAGAGGAGGGAGGAAAGACATCTTTCCTCCCACTTCCTTCCTTCCTTCTCCTTCCCTCGCTTCCTCGCTCTTTTTCTCGTCTTCCTTTTGGTTTTTTTGGTTGAACTTGTGGTGATTATGACCCTTTTAGGGTTTGGTTGTGCTCTCTCTTCTAGTTTTTTGTTGCCCCGGGTCTCTTCAAATATCTCTCACCTTCTATAGCCCCTTTGTTTTGCGGCTTTATTTTTGTGTTGTTTGGGTTCTTTTTGCAGATATGTGGGTTTTGTATTTTTGTTGTTGTAGGTTTTTTCATGTCTGTGGTTTTCCCCTCAACTTGGGCTTCGACGATGGTGTTCTTATTTTCGTGGTGGTGACGGCAAGAACTCTATTTTTTGTCATCTCGATTACACCAACTTTTTGCGAGTTGGGCATTCTGTTTGTATTTGAGTCTCTACTTTTATTTTTTACTTGTAAGAGTTTAAAAGTTGTAGTAGTACATTGGTAGTTTTGGGTGCGGTCCATGCCTGATTTGTTTAGGCTTGCGTCTTTCATGCCGAAATTTGTTTGGCTTTATGCCCCTATTAATGGAGATATACCTTGTTTGGCTTCCACATTTATAGTAACCTTTTTTAGGTAGTTTATGTCCTTGTGGCTGATGGTTTTGGTGCTTAAGTTATGAGTACAATTATCACTTATTCTAAATAAATAAATAAAACAAAAAATAAATGTTTTTAAGAGTCAAAATTCACTTATCAATTTTAAAAAAGAGAAATTAATTGCAATTTTAGTGACTGAATTTGACAAATATGTTGCTGCTTGATGGCTCACTTATTTTAGTATCACAAAGCTAGTTGTTGAAGATGCTCTATCATATCAAAAATTGAGTATCATACTCATTAAAATATATATTGTGTGCTTTGATTATAATAATAATAAAAAAAGATACGAAAAATGGTAAGTAAGAATGGTGGTTTGTGCTTGAGTGATTGTTTAATCGGTGATGAATATGAATCTCACAGGCAAATGCATCGACGACTACAAATCGTCCACGCACGTGTCGGTAAGAGCGGAAAGCCAACGAAGCTGCGAAGGTGTAAATATATAAAGGTTTATTTATTTGGGCGGAGTGACTGTTATGCCCTGTGGAAGGCAACAGTGATTGGTGGACGTGGGCGGTTGGCATGGCGAAAGAAGGAAAGGGAAAGCTTTGTCTCCCTAAATGCCGCAGTCTCTATCAGTCTATTGACGACCCAATTTCCCAGAAGACATCCCAACGCTCCTCCCCAGAGTACCACATCATCACAATCTCACGGCAGGGATTAGGCCACCTTCTGAAACCCCAGTCGTATAAATCGACGGCTATAAATCCATCACAACTCACCCACACGTTACAACCAATCAAATCTCAACAACACTACACACACACACGAGTCCCTCTTAGTTGATCTTTTAGGTTAATTATGGTCTGTTTTACCGGGCGATTAGACCAGATGTCCAGAACAGTGAATTCTTCCTTTTACACTAAATTTCGAATTTTCCGCCTCATAAAAAATCCGTATATTAATGAACACTTTGGTTTTTTCTTTTTCTCGAAAAGGCTTGGTGGACTCTTTCTTTGTCTAATTGTCTTCCAAAAAAGACCAACAAAACCTCCACACACAAACACAATAAACACGATGATAAGAAAGCAGCCGCATGCTCAAAACGAAAGCCATAAACATAAAAGCCTCTCTCTCTCTCTCTCTCTCTCTCTCTCTCTCTCTCTCTCTCGCTCACGAACATCAAGTCATCAAGACTTTCCTTATTTGGTTGTTCAGGGGGTGAAAGGTCGCCGTTTCAGCACTGTGGAGTTGCTCAGGAAACGTCAGGTCTCTCTCTGGCAACGTGTCACCGACAACTGTACGTCTTCTTCTGCATGATGCAGAAAGAGAGAAAGAGGTGGAGAAGAAGATAAGAGCATAAGTAAGAGCAGTAGCAGTGAATGAAGAGAGGGGGAGAGAGAGACAGACAGACAGAGAGAGGGAAGAAAAGGGTACACAGCTTTTTGGTATTGGGTTTTGTGGAGGTTGTTTCTCTTTTTTATTTCTTTTCTTTCTTGGCCTGCAGAGCAAACCCTAAATCCTCATTGGCGTCTTACCCATTGATTTCTTTTACACCAAAACAGCAGGAACCGTAGATTTTTGCGGTTTTTGGTAGGTTTCCTTATATGGGTTTCTTTCTGTTTTCTCAGATCTGACTCATATAATATCGATCATTCTCTTTCTCTCGGGTTACCTTTTTCTAGTTTTGCTTTCCTCCCAGTTTCCACTCCCTTCATTTCTTTGTTATTAATCAAACTTTGCGATTTGTGACTTTAATTTCTTGTGCCGTTGGTTGTGAATTTGGTTGGGACAGAGATGGAAATTGACAGAAGAGAGTGAGCACACAGAGGCACTTGGCATAAAGCGTATGCTATTGCTTTTGTGTGCTCATGTCTCTTTCTGTCAGCTTCCCAGTTCCACTGCCGGATTAATTTAATTTCTTATTTACTTCTCATCCATCTCTGGCCTGTGTTTCTTCCACTACTTGTAATCGCTCTCTCTCTCTCTCTCTCTCCAAATCTTGAATCTTAAAGCCTTTGTGGGGCTTCAAAGGAACGCTTAATTTGCTACTTTGAAATCGGTAAGTGATGATTATATTATATATAAAAATTGTTTGATAATATCGAAGCATCAACTAATACCTTGAAAGCGTGACTTTTGATGGTGTTTTTCACGAAGCTACACATATATTTGATATTTACTGTGCGAAATTAGCGGCAAAAACCTGGTAATCAAGCATAGAATTATAGCATGGGAATGGGAATTTTGAATGGGACCATTCACGTTATCTATCTAGCTTAGTATGGTCCTCCTATGCTTCATCGTCTTTCTAATTCTCTATTTGATCTCCATTTTTAATTCCTGCGCATGCGATGTTCTTGACCCAAGAATTGCTTCTGCTTCGACTTAATTTGTTTTTTTTCTTCTTCTTCACCTGAATCTAGTGCTTGTACTGTGCACCTACCAAGCTAGTTCGAATGGATATATACATATATATATATATATATGTATATATGTTTTCTTTATGGGTTTTTATACAACCCTATTTAGCTGCTCGAATAGGGTTGCTTTTGCTTGTTTGTACTATTTGATTACAAATGGTTTTTCCAATCACTAGTCTTTGATCTGGATTTTTATCGAACCTGGTACTTAATTTCACATCCACTGCACATTGGGTGTATATATATTTCTCGAAATATTGTGATTTAATGTGATGATTTAAGGGGAAAGAATCTGCTTTTGTTATCTGTCACTTGTTTGTCTAGTTGATTTTGCAGGAAGGCTTAAGGATTCATTTTCGAACCGTCAACACATTATTAAGTGTAAGTTTTCTTCTCTCAGAAGATAACTTGTCAAACAGGTTTAAATTTGTTTTCACAGTGAGCAAAGCTGATCTGGTAGCCCATTTGTTGCACCATTTTATGTATACGATCTATTGCATATACATTTTAGTTATTTAGATTTGATTGATGTTTGTGTCTCTTAGACGTTGGTAACTATTCCTAACCCAAAGTCTCAAATCTGTGACTTGCTGCAATCATGAAATAATTTCAATCTTGGGTTCTTATCTTGCAGTGAAGTTGGTTTCATATGCAGACAGACGATTGATTTCGAGATGAAAGAGGCTTTTGGCAAACCAATAATACCGAGAAAGACTGGTGAGTTGTTTTGGGCATGGATCTTAATTACTTTATTAATTGATCTTAATTACTTAATTAATTTCAGAATAATAATATTCCTTATTACATCTGGTTGGCACTGGCTGTGCTTGTGGGTCTAAATTAAAGTTGGAATGGAGTGTAATCGTGAAATTCCTATATAAATGAACCCATTTTTAGTGGCTTGCCCTTGGAAGGCCTAAATTGTTTCTTGTACTCTTTATCTCTATAATAATATAATCTTAATATAATTTGTATGATGGTGGTAGAATTATTTTTTTAAAAGAAACCATATCTTGTTAGCTAATTTTGTGTTAGTGTTTGTTGCATACCTTTCATGACATTTCTTTAGCAATTTTCTTTGCCATTATAATTTTCATGTATCTAGACATAACGTGATGTGAGGTCATTGTTCTTTTCTCTGACGTTCTTCTATGCTGTGATGCATTGCATCTGGTTTTTAAATTCTCTTTTATAGACAACAGACTTCAGTCTGGGCCATAGGAACAAAATATTTTTATTAGTAGTTGGGTGTGCAAGCTTGAAGAGGACTAGTTTGTGTATAATTTTTGAAAGGAAGTTAGAGAGTCACGTTTATACCAAACACAAGCACTCATTCACACTTTTTCAGTGCTATGAAGGCATGATTCAGTGAACTTTTTTCTAGCAAATGGATAGCAGATTTAACTAACTTGCCCGTGCACATGCGAGGCAGATGATGGAGTTCGACCCCCTTAGTTTCTAGGCATCTAACTATTAAGGCCACGATCAGCTCCCCCTTTAATTTTCCCTTGTTACTTATCTAATGAAGTTATACATTGGAGGACATGTTTTGTGAACATGTTTGACATATGTCGTCGAAGTTAACTTGTAGCTAAGCTAGTAAAATTCAAAATTTAGTAGGGGGTAGAGCAGACAATCTTTTATCTTTTCCACATGTGATTGAGATGCTTCCAAAGTACAAACAAAAAGAGATTTTGGCTTCACTTCCATTTGGGTTTGTTGTGTTCCTTGTGTACTAATTGGCTCACCATCCCAATAACATGGTACTGGCATCAAGGTCCAAGCTTGGGGGTTGGAGCTTTGGTGGTACTATGCTCCTACATTGTCTGTGATGGCCACTGTTGGACCATTTTGCTGCGTTGATGTGCCACCATTACACACATGATATGTGCTTACTGAAAGCAGCAGCTCAAAGCTTGGGGATTGATCTGAAGCAACCACACCGCGTAAACAAACAAGAAAGCCCCACCGACCTAGAAAAAGATTATAAGGACTACATGTCTCCATTTCTGATCTTTTGTTCTATTTGCTTGGTTTTTGCGTGCATGAGATATTGATGTTGATGATTATCTATATCTTTTTAAAATCTCTTATTGTTTAAAAAAACAAAAAGGTATTTTGTGACTAGTGTTTTATAATATTATAGGGTTCTGAAACAATTCGATGAATCCAAATTGGTTGATTTGGAATCACGATTCTATGTGTGATATTTTGATTGATTGTTCCTGTGGTGAATTCATTGGTCTTTATCATACACATTTTTAACCAAGTAAATTACTTTTATGACTTCTCCTACAGTACGTATCGTGCTAGAGTTACTAAACAAGTAATTTGAGGAGCTAGAAATGACTGCAAGAAATATTATAGCAAGCTCTAGATGGGAATTAATAAGGTAGAATCTACTGGGAAGAAATTAAAGAGGAAAAGCAATCTAGCTTTCTTAAAATTTCAAACTCAAAATTAAACATAAGAGCTAGCCAAGTCATCTTACTATATGTTCCTGCTAAATTCTTGTTTTAATTCCCTATTCATGATTTTATGATTGCCTAAAGAGCTTGGTCAATTATCTTTGGTATAACATATGGATACAATGTAGGTAATGCTTAGAATGTCGTTTACTAACAATCGTTAAGATTTGAACCGAGCTAGCTAGTTTTTCTACTTCCACAACCCAAAAGCTTTTAGGCAAACAATGTGAAGATCATATAAATCAGTTGTAAGAATATATATGTTCTTTCGAAGTTTGTTTGGTTGTTAGGTTAAGAATATATATATGGGAAAATAGGATGGAATACATATATAGCAATGGAAGGGAATTTTTGGAATCACTTAATTATGAGGTTTTGGCATTAGGAATAAATTGTTATACTCCTATTTCTAGTTTGTTAGTCAAGAACATACTTAAGTTTATTTTGTCTTTTACTGCTGTAGATTGGTGTTTTTTTCTTCTTCAGAGAATTATATTCAAGATCCTCTATTGGAAACTTCCTGCATTATACACTCCTGGGTGAGGCTTTTGTGTTAAGGAAGTGGAATTTTGAGCTGTGAGAGTAAATTAGAAATGAAATATATAAAAATACATATACACACATATTTGTTTCTGCTGTCCTCATGTATATAATTCCTGGTCTCTTATATCATTGTGATGCTTCATGTCCATGTTCAGATGGGGAAAACCAAATTCCTTCATGTCCCTGTTAAGATGTTTTCATATTAATTTGGTTTTGCTAATTGTTACAATCAATTGAAGGGTTTTAATCAGGAGCTGGTTAATTATATGATGATTTTGAACCATAATCGGAAACGTTGTGAAAATGTTGCAGGATATTATCGCCGTGCTGTCGATGAATGATCATCAATAATAATCACCTTGTGCTGTTGGACGTTAACCTTGGAGCTAGCTCTTGTCTCTAGAAGCGGATGAAGTCAAAACAATATCTTTATAAACAGTTCGTCTATAAATCATTAGCTGTAATGTAAAGCACAATTTGTTTTTATATCTATTTTGATTTTATTATTTTTTGGTTACACATGCAGATTAAGGGAAATCTCTCCGAGCCAGGCACGGATTAAGGGAAATCTCTCCCCAAGGGGTTCTTTACACATGCAGATGATCGAACTCGGGACCTCATTGAGGATCCCGATCACATTCGCCCAACATGTGTGGCCTAGCCCGTTCAACTTCCACCAGACCAAACCCACATGGGTCTATATCTATTTTGATTTTGATTTGTGAAGAAATTCGCTTTTGGAGGTGTTTTTTCTTTCTGTTTAGAAGCAATAAAACAGTAATAAGCAGAAAGTTGGCCTTCATTGAATATGTAGTGATTTCTTCTTCGCTTTTTATTGCCACTACCTATTGAATATATATATATATATATATACAAGAAGCGCCCT